TTAATATATATATTAATATGCCCCCTCTTATTTATCCATAGACGTTTGGGCTGCTTCCATAATTTGGCTATTGTAAATAATGCTGCAGTAAACATAGAGATGCATATATCTTTTTGAATTAGTGTTTTCATATTCTTTGACTGAATACCCAGTAGGGGAATTACTGGATCATATGATAAGTGTAATTTTAATTTTCTGAGGAACCTTCATACTATTTCCCACAGTGGCTGCACAAATTTGCATTTCCACCAACAGTTTTGCATGAGGGTTTCTTATTTTTTGATTAATGTAACTTAAAACTTTGAATTTTTTCTTTATTAATTTTTTACTGAGTCTCACAAATTTGAACATATACTTTCTTATTTAATTTTAAGTAATTTGTGTATTTTTCTCATGTTTCTTCTTTAATGTAAAGATACATTGATAATATAGTTTTAAATTTCCAGACATGCAAGGTTTATTTTTTTAGTTTTACAATTGTTATTTTTAATTTTGTTGCATTGTGATAAGAGTGTATAATGTTGGTGTTAATTCTTCAGAATGTATTGGGGTTTCCTTTTATCATAGATATGGCTCCTTTTGTGAAAGCTTTATATATACTTTAAAATAATCTGTATTTTCTATTTGGTGGATAGGAAGTTCTCTATAGAGAACTAAGTTTGTTAATCATATTCTTCAGATTTTCTCATGTTTTGCTTATTTGTCTGCTTAGTCTGTTTTTGAGAAGCTATCATAAATTTTCAACTGAAATGCTTATTTTTTAAAAATTGAATTTTAACATAGATACAGTAAAGTACAAAAATACGACTGTACAGCCCAGTGAATTATCACAAAGTTGAAAGACTAATGTAATTACTACCCAAGTTGTTAAACAGCACATTATTAGGACCCTAGAACTACCTTTGTGTCCCCCCTCAATCACTAGAATCCAGTTATCTCCAAAGACAACCGTCAGAGTTCTTACCCCATAGAGTCATTTGCTTGTTTTTAAATATGTTAATTAAATCATATAGTATTTTATTTTACATATATCTTGTAATATTATGTGAGAGTTATCCATAATGTTGTACATAGCTATTGTTCCTTTTTTACTGTCTTGTTGTATTTCACTGAATAAATACAACAATACATCTATCCATTCTACTGTTTATGGACATTTGTGTTATTTTTATTATTGGTCATTGTGAATAAAGCTACTCTGAATATTTTCATCTGTATCTTTTGGCACATGGATGTCCTGCATTTTTTGGTTTATATTCCTAGGAATGGAATTTATTGGCCAAAGTGTACGTGTACATTTAGCTTTAGTAGATTTTACTAGTTGTGCCACACTCTTACCACTCCAGGTGTTGTCATCTTTCTCATGTGGGCCACTATGATGGTGGGAATTAATATCACATCGTGGTTTTAGTTTTAATTCCCCTAATGACCAGTATGGTTTTGCAGTTTTTTAAAAAATGCATTGGCCATTTTATCAAGTGTCTATTCAGATTTCTTGTGGATTTTCTATTAGGTTGCCTCTCTTATCCCTATTGATTTATAGGAATTTATTATTTATTCTGGATATGAGATCTTTGCCAGTTGCAAATACTTCCTCTTATGGTTCACTTTTACAGTCTCTTAATCATGTCTTTTGATGAACTGAAATTCTTAATTTTAATATATTTCAATATATCTTTCTTTTGTGATTAGTACTTTGTATGTCCCTTTTAAGAAATCCCTTCTTACACCTGTTGAAGAATATATTTTATGTTTTCTTCTAGATCAGCACTGACTATTAGAGATATAATGTGAGCCAGAAATTTGTGTCACATATATAATTTTATTTATTTGTTTGTTTGTTTATTTATATATTAGGGAGAGAGGGAAAGAGAGAGAAAGAGTGTGCGGGTGCGAGGGGCAGACGGAGAGAGAATCTTAAGCAGACTCCATGCCTAGTGCAGAGCCCAACACAGGGCTCGATTTCACAACCCTGAGATTGTGACCTGAGGTGAAATCAAGAATTGGGACGCTTAATGGACTGAGCCACCCAGGTGCCCCATGTACCACATATATAATTTTAATTTTAAGTAGCCACTTAAAAAAATGGAATGAAACAGGTGAAATTAATATGAATAATGTAATTATTAACAAGAGTTTTTTGTTCTTTTTCTAAAAATAAGATTTCAAATTCTAGTGGCTGTTTTACATGTAGAGCACATCCCAGTTGGCCTAGTGACGCTTCAGATGCTAATAATTACATGTATCTAATGACTATCATATATCATATATCAACCCATTTGAGAAGCTTTAATGATATGCCATTTACATTTAGCTCTAGCACCCATGTCGCTGTTTTGTGTGTGTGGCGTGAGGTAGCATATCTAGCAAGGAAACTATGTCGCTTCTAGAATTGAAGGACGATCTTCAGGATCTAGAGCCAATCTGGGTCCCTTGGGAACGAAATCAGGCCTTGATGATTCTGGCAATTTGAAAGTGTCTCTCATCTCTGCATATTCTCTTTTATTTCATGAGGATTTACTCAACATGGCAGAGCACATGGCCACCAGTCGTTCTGGGTCACATCTTTACAACTTCCAATAGTTGAGAAAAGATAAATCTCTTTCTATTTAGTAATGGCCTGGCTCAGGTCACATTCCTATACCTGGCAGCCAGGAAGAAGATTATTTTTGGCCAGATCATTACATGCCCATATATTTATAATCATGGGACAGAAATTATTACCAGAAAAGGGAAGCCACCACAGTATACCACATCTGGTTTCTTCTGTCAGATACTTTTAGAGAGCTGGGGTTATCCATTGTGCACAGAGAGCACTAGAAAAATATTTGTAAATAGCACTAATTTGACAGGAATGCTTAAAATGAGGCCTGAGGCAGGAGGAATATAAATGCACTGGCTTAGAACTCATTTTTATGATAGATACACACATATTTGAAAACTATAAATTCTTAGTTTACAAGTTTAGGACTGTTGATTATAAGGGTTTGTTAACATTGAAGGTAACTCAACATTTTCTCTGTAACCTGAATTTTCTGCAAATCTGTGGGTGGTTGGAAGAGGTATGCTGTGCCTTGGTGACTATGCACAGCCTGGCAGAATTTTTGAATATGACTGACTCTCTTATGTGATAGTACAGTTCTTTTGGTCATTAGTCAAACTTCAAGTTTTCTTCAGAATACTACAAAGGAGGAAAATGTTATTTGATATTAAAAGAACATTTTTTCTTCTTTTAGAATTTATCTGACTTCCTGTCTGAGTGGGGTCACAGTCTCAATTTATTAGTTCTGTCATTTAGCACAAAATTTAAAATCAAAGTGTGGTTCCATGTGAGGTAAAGATGAAAAGTTATTCCCTGGGATTCCTAGTGTTCTACTTTTAACTCCTATTTCTTCAGCACTCATTAGTTCTCCTTTTGGGGAAACAGAGAACTCTCCCCTCACTTGTGTGAGGGGAAGGACAGGTAGGGAGAAGAGAAGTGAAGAAGAATCTTCCTTTGGCTTCCTTTTTTTTTAGGAGTGTCAACAAGATTGAATGAAGGAACCACCCATTTTTACTTTATGAAAGGCATTAACAACTGGGAAAACATATTTATTTTGGCTGTCTAAAAACCCTGACTTCAGATACCCAAAGCAAATTAGATAGGATTTAGGTGGATAATATAAAAAGGAAATGATTACAGGCTCAATTATTTGGATGGAAGAGCATTGAGGTGGTAGAATTTTCTCAGGTGCCAAAATAACAGAAATGGTTCTAACCTCCTCTGTGCTACTTTCCTAGTGGCGGTTTCTTTCTTGCACCCTCCTGAACCTCCCACTCACCTCATCCCCGCCTCTCACACACAAGTTTTTTGTTTGTTATTCTTGTTCAGACATTTAGAAGTGTATTTAATGGTGTTTGTAAGTGTAGCTTCAGGTAGCTTCACATAACGTTAAATTCTCACTGACTCCGAAACCATCTATAAACACAGCCAAAAGCAATATCTAGAATTCCTTTTCTTTTGGTATTTGTGTTATGGACACTAGATTAAGAAAGTTAGTAGGGTTTGAAAATGTTTTGCTTTTCTTACTGTTTAAAGTGAACATTTTAAGATTAGCTTATATTTCCAATTCATTTTAAATTTATAATCATGATATAACAGTAGATCATACACTTTAGAAAAAAAGCCATACATAATATCAAACCTTCCAAAACTGTTATTCTTTGTATTCCTTTTCAAGTTTTTGCTGTATGCATAGTTTTATGTCATTGTAATCATTGCTTAATTTTGAAATTAATTTTTTTGGTAATTCAATGAAACAACATGCAAATGAAGAATATGTATCTTTTACTCAGTTTAGGAGATCACCCAGAGCTGATGAGAATCAGAAAATAGCTATTTTCTGTTTATTCCAGGTAGCAAGAAATCATTTTTATCTTTTAATGTTGAGTAAGTCTCACAATTGTTATGTGCATGACAGTGGCTACACAGAGTCATCCCAGCTTTGTAAATACTAGATTTGCCTATATTACTCAGAGACCCCTCCCCCCCCCAAAAAAAACCAAAAAAACTAAGCAGGAAACCTAAGAAATCTAAAAACTTTTTGCACAAACAATGCGGCTTTGGGTTGTGTTCTATTATCAAAGCAGTTGTATGTGAAATGTTTTACGCGTAAGTCAAAAAAAAAGAAACTCCGTACAAAGCAGTGATCATTTCCTGTTTCATTTCTCATTTTCTTTTCGCGTGAAGAGCTTTTGTCCCTCACTAGGAGTTGCTTTAAATCTCTGGGAAGGTCTGTTCCGAATTTACTGCTTCTGGATTGGTTAAGATCCCTTTTAAGTGTGTGCTTTGTTCTCTGAAAAGCTTAGGTCAGTTGAGCAACATGCTGCTAATTTTTTTTTTTTTTTTTTTTTTTTAAGAGCTGAGTAATGCTGGAGCCTTCTCATGTGGCTGATGCAAACCTGGAGAATTTGCATCATCATTAAGCTGGAATAAGTTGGTGTGACAGGCAGCAGCTTAAATACCAGCCCCTGAGGAAGCTGAGCTGGTCTGTAATCATAGGGCAGTAACAGCGGCTGCAGCGGCAGAGGTAGTCCGAGGAGGCGGAGGAACGAGAGAGCACCATGAACACACAGGTGTTTCTGAGGGGTAATTAGATAGCTGTGGAGGAGAAAACACACCTTTGAGTTCTTACCTGTGAACACAATAGCACTGAGCGAGACAGTCTGAAAGCCAAGAGGAAGAGGTTTGGTCAGTCACACCAAGAGACACCAAAGTTGAAAGTTTGGGGTTTTAAATTTTTTTTTTTTCCTCTGTTTCATTTTTCCCGTGTGCCACTACAATGGTCAGAAAGCCTGTGGTGTCCACCATCTCCAGTGGAGGTTACCTGCAGGGGAATGTTAATGGGAAGCTGCCTTCCCTGGGTGGCAAGGAGCCACCTGGGCAGGAGAAAGTGGTGCTGAAGAAGAAAATCACTTTGCTGAGGGGCATCTCCATCATCATTGGCACCATCATTGGAGCAGGAATCTTCATCTCTCCCAAGGGCGTGCTCCAGAACACAGGCAGCGTGGGCATGTCTCTGGTTATCTGGACAGTCTGTGGGGTCCTGTCACTATTTGGTGAGTGCAACTTCTTCTCTGGGGGTATGTCTGCGGCGCTGGGCAGTTTGCTGTCTGGGAAAGCAAAGGGTAATTTTTAAGGAGTGAATGAATGGCGCAGGCTACACCAGATTTTCTGATTTTTGTTTAAGTGTGCGAACTACCCAAACACGGTGTTCACTCTTGGCAGGAACCTGAATTCCACCAAGTTGCTTCCTGCAGCCCGCACTCCCTTTTCCTGACTAAGACAGACTGTTTTCTGACTTTCCCTGTGGCCATGAGAGCAAAAGCTAACTGTGATGACCCAGTAAAGTACATGTGAACTTTCTGTACCGGGCAGTTTGCTTAGTTACGTATGTTTGAGGCATCTTGGCAGCCAGCACGCTGAATGAAACACCTGTGAAGTGAAACCCGGCGTGGCCTATTTAGGCACAGAACTGAGCAGTCAGCAGAAGCATTACGGTGTTTTTATTGCCAAAACAAACCAGGCGGGATGGGGTGCAGTCTTTCTCTTTTTAACTTTTGAACTTCGCGTGCTTGTCAGTTCCTAATATTTTCTCAAAAGGCCTTGCCATGATACCATGTGCGGTGGCACATAACTCGATTCCTGTGATAAGTGGGAATATTGCAAGGGTCTGAGCATATTTCAATTTTTTTTTCAATCTTCCATCTCTCCCTAACACCTGTAAACTCTTGCAATATAAATAGGAAAACTGGAATTGGGTGTTAGTTTGCCGTGCTTGCCAGATCTGTTTCCTTCATTTATAGTTCACTTGGTCTTCAGGGACATGGATAACGTGTCCACCTCTCCACTGAGTCAGTCTGAACAGAACTACTAGTAGAAGCGTGATGATACAATTTTGCTTCAAAATCTACATCTCTTTTATTGATTTGATGTTAATAGCAAAGAGGTAATAAATGCCTTTCATGGGGTGGGCAGATTACTAGAAAGCTACCTGAGTTAGTTATAAAGGTGACAAAAACTGGTGGAGGGTCAAAAAAATTAAATTTTGCTTACACTATATGCGGTAAGTGTCTAAGATATATTTGCTCTTTTGTAGCAACTAGTGTGTTTTAATTCTAAAAGGCTCTACTAACACAAAGCTTTGTCCTAACTCTAGGACTAAGTCTTAACTCTTGGTCCTACGTGTACCAATCCATTCATTCTTAAGGCCTTGTGATGTTTTAATGCATTCCTTTGGGTATTCATCTAGAGAACACAAATTTCCATTAGTAGGAAGAAGGTATTTCAAGGAAAACTTGTTAAAACAAAGCCTTAGTATAGAAAGATCTATAGAAGAATTATTTTTGGGTTTTTAAAAAGAGTTTGTGGTATTCTGTATGGTTCTGGCATGTACATTTATAGACAAAGAGAAACCTAATTGTTGCTCTTCTTAAATGACTTTGTGCACCCTCAGTCTTTAATCTATAAATACTTGGTAAATTGAGAATACATCAATGTCTAGTAGGAAAAACCATAACCAATTTCCTGGACTTTTCGTACTTGTATACATGCAGCTCCCACTGTGTGATTTGATGTGTGTACACAATAAAAGGTTATTCAGATATAGTAAAATGGATTGGGCTGAGGACTGAACTAGTTAAAATGCTATCGTGCTATGAAAATATGGTTCTGTGTAAGTATATCAACTCAAGCAGACACAGAGGGAAAAAAAATTAAAAGGACTAGCTAAGGTTACACTTGAGTATATTCTTTGATTACTAATCACAGGGAGCATGCTCCTGTATTAATCTACTTATCTGTATTTACATTTTATTTGTCATTTAAGTTCCTAGGAGCTTTTTGACAGGAGTGCCTTCCTAACAGGAAGCAAAGCAAAATGTAAGGAAAACAAATCCTTTTTCTTAACACTCTAGAACTCTGGGACTAAGGGTAAAGAATCTGTATATTTGGTTTACAATTTTTTTTTTTTTTTAAAGCCAGGGTCAATACATGGATTTTTACATCCTGTTTTGAACTTTTTTCAACTGGGTAAAATGATTATGGCGCTTGAGACTTTTAAATGAAAATCTCATTCCTCCAGAACTCAATTTAAACCTAGGGCAACCATCCTGGAGTTTCAGCAAAGCATACACAGGTCTGGGTATTGATTCTCTGGCAATAAATTCTGAGGTACTTGAGACTTTCCAATAACATTTTATATTGGAAGCTTTTATGTACAGACTACCAACATGGCGACTGGTTTCCAAGAATGAATTGCAGCTAGTTACAGTTAGTTACAAATAGGCAAGCTATATTAGTGATCCCCAAATATCAATCTGCTTACCAGTTACTTTAAAATCATCTGTACAAATTTTAAAATAATAGATTTCTTTGGATCCCTCTATTGGAGATCTGGACTCACTTGGTAGAGAACAGGTGTGGGGTATGGCCTTAGAGTCTGTTCTTTGTGTGTATTTAAGAAATTTACTTCCAGGTGATTCTGATACAGAGCTAGGTTCAGGAATAGGATAAATGATACTAAGATTTCACTGAATAATCAAATTTTACTCCTCTTGGACAGTTCTGCCTGAAGCTTTTCTGATCAGTAATAATTTCCCACACTTTTAGTCTCTGAAGTAGCTCTGCCAACAATTGTGTTACATTTGAGTACTTTGCAGTATGAACAGCATTTTTCACGTAGTACCAAGATGTATTTTTCATTTTCCTGATAGTTAATTGCTCAAATTAATATTTCATGAGGCGTTCTCTTGTATCAGGCCCGGTACTGTCCTTGGTGCCCGTTATCACATGTGTACACACAACTCTCTTATGAGGTGAGAACTGAGATCTCCATCTTACAAAGGAAGAAACGTAGGTTTGGGGAGGTTACATGACTTGCTCAGGTCCATGTGAATTGTATTGCTAAATGTTGAAATTGCTAACTGTTTAAAATTAATTTTACCTAATATACATAAGTTATAGCATCTCTTTTTAAACAGTATTTCAACTATCCAGAAGTGTGCACTTCAAAAAAATCCAAGAAAACCTTTTTTAGAAATAGAATATTGGAGTCAAAATTCATTTTGTTGACAGTCCATGTCCTACAAATTAAATGAGGTCTTGCAAGGCCTAGAGTCTATACTTTTCTGAAGAACAAATAAACCTTGTTAATTTTGATGTGCAGCAGAAATATCATTTATTATAAGGATTCTTAATATTATGAGGTCAATTTGAGATAATTCCTTGTCCTGGTGTGTAGTTCCTTTAAAAATAGATTAGCATTATTGGCATCTATCTTCTCTTTTCCTCAGGTTTGAGATTAAAAATTCTTAATAATATGATACTACTTTAGAAGTTTGTCTTTACCATTTCAAGTAAGATTACATTGTTTGAATATAATGAACTAGTTCTCAAATATGAGGAAGTTATAAGGAGAATTTGGTGGCTTCTAATAATCAGATGACTGTTTCTTCTCCTGAAATGAGGACCTCATTCAGACCAAATGATGTAGTAACATCTCATGTAACATAAACATTATTGTATCAATTCTTCTATTGGATGACTTGGTAATATTTTAACTCTGTACCTTTTTATTATGTACATTTCACAGGAGCCTTGTCCTATGCTGAATTGGGAACAAGTATAAAGAAATCTGGTGGTCATTATACATATATTCTGGAAGTCTTTGGCCCATTACCAGCTTTTGTACGAGTCTGGGTAGAACTGCTCATAGTACGGTAAGAGCATAGATAAGAAAAATATTAAGGAAAAATAAATCCATTCATTACACCCTCTTTGAATCATCTTAATTATTTTTAATGGATTAGAACTATGCATGTCACGTGACTATGTTGTAAACAGTCTATTTCAGCGTTTGAAGTCTGTATGAAATACCTCTGTCAATTAATGTTTTTAACCCAGTTTTGTCACTCGTAGGACTTCTCTGTCCATGCCAGACTTTTAAAGTTACTGATTTTCTTTGCTGTTCAATTATTCTCTGACATTTCTAGAAAATATGTTGACCTGAAAGGATACAAAGCATGAAAATCTACCTTGATAAATCATACCTTTTGACTGGCCAGACAAAATTAAGTGTTATGCTAGTAGTTGGGGTTTTTCTTCTTGTAGATTACATCGTCATTTAACTTTACTCAGTTGTCGTGACCAGGAAACTTCTGTGCCTAACAATTTAATGTGTCACTGAGTTTACTACTTTACAAAAAACAAAACAAAACAAAGCTCGAGTGACTCACTTCCTCTTCTTAGGCAAATCAGTGAACTATAGTTGTGAAAAAAAATTTTATTGCTGTAAGATATGTTCTCCTTTCTAATTGGCTTGGCTTAAAATCAAACCAAATAGTGCTAAGTCACTCTGAATAGCAAATTTCCTTTACCTTTGTGGGAAATCTGTGATGTCATATGAGAAGAGTAGAGTATCACAGTTCCTTAAGGCTAACTGCTACCATAAAATGTGACTTGCACATTCTGATTGCAGAGTTTAACAGAAATAACTGGAGAAACTTGCTCTTACTATAAACTTATCAGACATACGCAGCTGAGAGCTCCTGTGAGCTTTTATCCTAACGTTTTTCTAACAAAGAGCTTAGAGTAGTATTTACTTCTGTAAGTCTGTTCTCATTTTAAACAATTCTGCATTATTTTAAACTTGTTATAATGAAATAATGAGAAAGAAGTATTTTGGTCCTTTTCTAAAAACTGGGATTTGTCTGGGATGTACCTTCTGATCTTTTTTGATTTATTTGAATATTACTCTTCAAAGGTTAACCTAAATCCTATCTTTTCCACAGTTCATTTCCTGTTCACCCTAGTTTATATTTCTTTTCTCTCTTAATTCTTCTGAAAAAAGGCAGTCTCTCCTTATTTGACATTCAACACGATATCTTGTAGTCTTAGTATTTCCAGGTGTCTATGTTCTGTTTCCCCTATCAGAAATGCAGGCATTTTAAGTACATAAGACCAACTCTCACACTTTTTGAAACCATTATACTTCTTAATCAGTGTCCTGAGTATCACAGATAGTAAATTCTTTTTGAGCAGCAATATTAAATTCTTTTGAATAATTTAATTATTTTTGACTGAAAGTTTAAGGTTATAATATTTTGAATACAACATTCTCAGCACTCAGATGAGGATACTACTTATTTAGAGTGCTGGCCTATTAGGATAGTGGGAGCCTGATATAGCTGCACTTGAATCCCTCTTCAGCTATGTATTTGCTGCATGGCTTTGGCTGATTGCTTGGCATTATAATGAACATGATCACTCTTTTCACAGTAGCTCAGATACGGTGCTCATTCACTTATTTATTCATTCCTTAAACAGCTACTGAGTGGCAATGGTAAGTTAAAGAGATCTAAAGTGGAAGGAGCCACAATTCCTGTTCCCACGTAGCACATAATTAAACATTAGTTAACTGCAAGAGAGCTGCTTCATGGTGTGTGTGTGTGTGTGTGTGTGTGTGTGTGTGTGTATATGTACTGACAGAGGAAATTACCCAGATATATTCTAGAAGCTTTTTTTGAAGGGTTCATATACTCCTTTGTAATAAGGGACTCACATTGCTTGGCTGGTCTTCCAAATAAGCAGAGTGATAAATGACTTGAGGATTGACAAGATACCTAGGTACTTTAATATTTCTCATCTGTTAACCCATGGTGTCTAAATACTTAAAATGATGCTTCATACTTATCAGGAATAATCTGTAGGACACAGATTTCAAGAAAATAAATATCATACATCAGTACATAGCAGGGGTCATTAGATTGAATTCACATATTAACCATATATTCAAATGTTTATTGGGTTTCTACTTATGACAGATACTATACTAAACACTGGGGATAAAATAGTGATTAAGATGGACAGAGTCTGGAATTCATGGAGCTCAGGGTCACACGAGGGAAATAGTTATCAATCAAGAAATCACATCGTGAAGATAAAGTTGCTACTGTGATAAGCACCGTGAAAGGGAAGCCATGAGACCAAGTGAACAAGTGTACTTACTCATGGAGCTCTCACCCAATCAGAAGGTTAAAGGAACTTCCTTGAGCAAAAAAAGATTGAACAAAGATATGGGTATAAAAAAATGTCAGTGAGGGGCGCCTGGGTGGCTCAGTCGTTAAGCGTCTGCCTTCGGCTCAGGTCATGATCCCGGGGTCCTGGGATTGAGCCCCGCATCGGGCTCCCTGCTCGGCGGGAGGCCTGCTTCTCCCTCTCCTACTCCCCCTGCTTGTGTTCTGTCTCTCGCTCTCTCTCTCTCTGTCAAATAAATAAATAAAATCTTTTAAAAAAAAAAATGTCAGTGAGTTGCAGGAGCTCCTGGCAAAGGGTATTCATCTCCTTCTAGTGGGAAGAAGCAAACCAAGAGGAAGGGAACGCTTAGACCAGATGGAGCCGTAACTGAAGGATTTTGCATATCCTGAGCATGTTTTGAAAGCACTAAAATGACGTGATCAGATTTTAAATTATACATTAAAAATTTGCAAATGATGGAGAATAGGAAAAATCATCTTTTGGGAGTGGAAGAGGAGAGGGTCTTTAGGAAAAGAAGAAAATCAAAAAAATCTATGGTGCTGTTACAAGCAGGCTAATGTTGGAACATAACGGTGGTTGGTTTTCTGACAGTCTAGGGATTTAGCATGGGTGCTGAGTAAGTATGAGAAGAGAAGCTGAAAGTGAAAATTGGCATGAGAAATTAGATAATTCCATGAACTTGCCTGTGTATTTAAAGAAGATGCATTCGTATAGAAATATATTTAAAGGCACATGCAATTTTCTCATAGAAATATTTGAAGAATTAAAGTAGAATGGTTGTTACCTATTTTACTATAGACCTGAACTTATTTAATTTTCTTATCTTATGCATGTTTTCTCAATTGTATAAAATCACAGCAACATTTTTATTTTTCAACTTATACTTCGCATCTAAATGTTTATGAAATTAAAAATAATCACTGGGCTCTTCAAGTTTTTGTCTGTACTGGAAAAATAAGAAGAATATAATGTCAAGGACAAAAGCATATATTTGCAATGAGCAATTATTAATAATAGTTTTTGAAGTTGGATTTTGTATTCATTTTCCTGACCATGCCCTGACTCAATAGTTCTGTGTCCTTAACCCGTTTGTGCTGTGACTGGAGTTTAGTTGTTGACTTATTGAGAAGATGCTTCTTGTAAAGCTCAGCTCTTTAGGATCTCGAATAATAAACTACATTTTTTAAGAAAAAAAAAAAAGTCAAATCTAGGAGAGCAGGGTCAAAACTGATATCACCCAGTCTTGCTTCCATGGATAGGGGAAGTTTAAACTGGCCACCAAAATTATAGGCCATATTTTACTTGGATTGTCTGTGACAACCTAAGCAAATATGAAGTTTGGAAAATTATAGGCTTTTATATTTAACATGTTCTTTTTGTTGAATAACATTACCTCAAGGTAGAGTAAGTTTAGTGAAGGTGCTATTTGTTTTTTCCTTTGTTAACCTAATTTTTTCTTTTCCAGCCCTGCAGCCACCGCTGTGATTTCTCTGGCTTTTGGACGCTACATTCTGGAACCATTATTTATTCAATGTGAAATTCCTGAACTTGCGATCAAGCTCGTTACAGCTGTGGGCATAAGTGAGTATCGTAGGTATAAATATGAAAAGGAAAAAAAAAAAAGCAAAAGTGATTGATGACAAAGTTTCTATGGACTTTTTTTGCATGATGGGACTGCTCTCCACATCCTGCTTTTGGCTTCAGTTCCTTGCCAAATTTGTGTTGGAAAATAAAGAAAAGAAGAAGGATTCAGAGTAATCCCTGGCATCACGTTACATGCCAGTTTTGCATTGGATTAATAGATATGATGTCTAACCTTTTGATGTAGGTAAACAAAAACCACCATGTTAGTAAAATAGTACAAGAAAAGAGAATTTCACAGGTGAAAACCCAATTATTTTATGGATTTTTGAATTAGAAATTATCCTTCCTCACTGATAATATGTTGAATGATAACTCACTTATCCTCATGTGTTGGGTGTGTATGTTGTGTTCATACATTTTATAGTGTTAGCAGAATGTCACTTTCAGTGTTATAGTTTTAGCTGCCCATTGATGGTCATGATAAAAGTCTTTTAATATGTGATTATTAGTAGCACTTCTCAGATTAGGTCTCCAAATTAGGAATTTGTTCATTTTTATCAATGTGCACAAATACTAGACTTTTTTTAAAGAAATAAAAAAGAGGAAAATACACAGCATTACATAAGTGATATGAAGCCAAACCTTTGGATATTATGGGAAACAACTTAATTCTAGATGCTAATTGAATCAGTTCTAAGAATTAATATGATCACATTTGATTAAGTTTGAACTATTTGTAAATAGTAAATGACACAGGAGTAGCTGAATTGCATACTCACGAAAAAAAATTCAGTTATGCATGGCAAAAGTATTTCAGTAGAACAACGAAGGGAACAATGCACATTCGCCAGTAGAGAGGTGAGTGGTTTGTTTGCAGGAAAGAGTTAGGAATTACACATAAAAGTATCTCTAGTGTAGATACATATATTTTTGAACTTAGGTTCATTCTGGATTTGCTACTTTATTCACCAAACATGCACACGCTATTATTCTATGAAATGTTTGAAGAAAGACAAAGAAAAATACTCGAAGTAGAGATTTCTGAGTTCTGGAGAGGTAATGGCAAACTTAACTCATCATGCTCTTAACACACGCTACAGATGTGAGACTCAGGGACAAATCACTGAACCTTCCCACACCTCATTATTCTTACCTGTAAATCCTGCGGAGTCTCATCAGGTGTCCTGTGAGGATTAAATGATGTTAATGGAGACAATGTATGTATAGGGTTTGGGGTAATGCCTGCAATTTATTAAGAACAAATTGCAAATGGTAGCTATTTATACTCTTGGGGGAAAGCATCATTTGAAATTCCCATGAGACCAAGGGTCCTTCCATTGCTATATTTCCAGACCTTCACATAGCTCCTTGTGTGGTATTTGTGTTCACTAAATATTTGTTGACTCACTGATTTTATGAGAGAGGTCTACGAATTTTTCCCTAGCAGAAAAATCTTGTTGAACCTGGAGGATTACACATCTTCAGTTTTCTCAGGCAGTAGGACAATGGTGGTAAATGAAACAGAGTTTGTTCAATGTGATCTTCAGATCTAATACCATGAGCTTTGGTGGGATGAACTATCTTAGCATAGTAGTTACAGCTTAGGCTCTGAAGGCAAACAGCCTGGAATTGAAACTTATTGTGACAATTTCTTAGGTGATTTGGAGCTAAATATTAAACCTGCTTAAGCATTACTTTTATTTATTGGTAAAATATCTGTGAAAAGATAATCTGTCTTGGATGGCTGCAGAAAGATGAAATCACGTCAGGTTTTTAAGGCCTTTAGCAAAGTGTCTTGCTTGTAGAAAGTTCTTGATAAATGTGGTGTCCCACTAAGGGATTGGACTAACAGCCAGTATTATAACCGTTATATTCTTGTCCCTCGAATGACTGAGGCAGACTCATACCACAATTATTATATTTGAAAAGAAGACAGAGGTAATGTTTTTGAGAGATTTGTAAATTTACAATAGAAGTTTTAAAAGCAATCTCTTGTGTAGGCACACGTATTTCTCAACTTAATTAAAAGAATTAGCAAACTTTCAGTAGATTTTATGCAAACATTTACAAGTCTGCAAATATTGCCTGCTTTGGACTTTAAATGAGGTGGATAATCATGACATACTACTACATCCAAGAGTCTGGATGACTCTTTTTCTTATCCCAGTGCTGTTAAACTTTTTGAAGGGAAAATTTGTATTTTGTAGGAGAAAATGGAAACTGTTCAAACCAAAATTTTAACGCAATTGTAGGTAAGGCCAGTTATGGTTTACCAAACTCCTATGGTAGAGATTGGTGATGGAAGAGTTCACAAAGCCTGAGTAAATCTTGGGTGAACCTAGACATTTTCTTCATTTTTGCCGTTAGTTATAGCATTAGCTTACAAATTTTGATGTTCCGTTTGCAAGCTTGAGATTCTGAGGAAGTGCATTCCTATAATCAGAAGCACTGAAAGAGGAAACAAGGTATTGTTATGACTCAGTGGTAGGTCATGAAAATCAGTGGCCTAACTGGGAAAGTGAGACTCTTCTTTTAAAAGAATTTAGCTTTAATGCAGCAACAGGGTGGATATGGAGATGCAGAAGGAGAAATCTGCCCAGGGGCAAATCTCTCCTATTCTGCATTGTTGAAAGTGAGTATCCATGATTTTCTGCCTGCGAAGGGTGGAAGTTTAGTGAGATGTAGAAAACAGAGTTTAATTGCATGAATTGCTTCCCTGTATTCCTTGGGGGAAGGAAACAGTTTGTGATAGTTTGAAATCTCTAGTTCAAGTGTAGAAGAAGCGCAAACGTGAAGGATCTTGTTAGAATCAAGTCACAGAAAAAAAGGAATTTCAAGTTTTGTGAAATGTTAACCAACCATTTGAGAAATGATAGTGGGGTGGGAGTGGGGAGTTACTAAATGCTAATTTTATCTGCCCTTTGTTGAAAGTACTCGATTTCATTTCTGTCAATTTGATAAAGATGAAAAGTTTTTGCTTATCCAAACTCCTGTCCATTTGGGTAAACATGCCAGGCACAGGGAAGTCCAGCTGGGAAATCTTACACATTCACATGAGGTGCTCTCCTCTAGTCCACTCTGAACATCACACCCATGCAACGCCAGCAAGTTTCCCTGTCCATGGAGCTTTGGCAAGGATTGAAGGATGTTCGATCTGTAAAATGATATCCAGTCTTTCGTTCTGGTCTTCTGAAATTCTTACCTATATAGTATATACTTAAATGGCAGAATATTATAATAAAAATACTTTCTTCAAAATATGAAATCTCATCCCAGATCCATTCCTAACAATCTCCGAGTCTCATTTCGTTCCTCACTTAGTGTGTGTATAGATGAGTAAAGGACCCCACCCTGCTTCTCATACCTGGTGGGAATAATTAGAAGAAGCAAAGAAAATAACACTTGTGACTGCATTATAAGAAAAAATTAGCCAGTTCCATTCCATATCACTGTACTTTCTTTTCCCAAACTATTTTCCTGGCATCATTGAATTACATGAAAGAAAATCAAGGATCACTTCTGGGCTAGCATTTCAAATACAGCATGTGGAGTGGTTTTGCGTAAATATTCTGAAGTCTGGCTCTATCGTACCTAAATTACCAAGACAATGTATTCTTAGGTAGATATACGTGGTATTGAAATATATAAGCACTGAAAATCAATAACCATATCCTTCAGGAGGATGACAAGTAAAATGTAGGATCAAAGTATCCTGAAATCCTAGCCAAGATAAACATGAACCTTAGCAGAGAAGCAGAGCCACTAGGAGTTTGAAAGAACTAGGTATACTAGTGAGATCACGTGTGTCTTTTGAGCTACTTCCTCATTGTTACTTGTGAGGTAGGCGTAAAAGTGTGGACCCTGAAGTCAGTTTACCTAGGCTCCAGTCTATCTTTATGCTTACCTGTGTGAACATAAGCCTGTTAAATACTATCCCAACTTTCAGCTGCCCATCTGGAAAATAAAGCCAATGATGGTGACCCTATCATAGAGAGATGAGGATTAGATAACATTAACCATGTAAAGTCTTTGTACATGCCTGCCATATGATATTAGTTTACAATTATTTAATGTTTACCAATTTTATTCTCAATATCGAGATCCTAGATATAGACTGTCTCTCCTTTTTAAAAATGTTTATGGCTAGACGCGTTTATCTTCTCTGAAATCAATACATCCATACATGCTAACAAAGAAAAAGGCAACCCAGGCAGCTGTTATAAAAAACTGTGGAATGATCGACTTTAACTCACCACATGGCATACCTACAGCATCCATATATTTTATCAATTTAGCGTGAAGAAGTCAGAAGTAAGAAACCAGAGAGAACCTGAACCTGGGAGAAAAACCAATATATCCAGGCTCAGTAATCTTACTCAGCAAATCCGAAGATGGACTTGAATTATAGAAGTGCAGAAAGAAACACTTGCCAGTCCTTCACATTTCCCTAAACATCCTCTTCAGAAACAGCTCCCTTCAAATATGTATTTCTTATCTCCAAGATTTATACATATAGCTTTCATGGCTGTGTTTCAGTTCTTAGAAAACTGCCCTATAAATAAGTAAATAAAAATTATATGTCCCTGTTTTTTCATTTCGGTAAGGAAAAAAAGCGAAAATTGACATAGGTTCTAATGTGTGACATTTGCAATTATTATTCAAAGGGAGTAAAGCTAGCTGGGACCACAGAATTTACTCAGATTTCTTTTATTACAATGTGGGTAGATCATCTATAAAAATCAAAGTAGATATTATTTGTTGCAGAAACTCAGAAAGCTCTTGCGTTTAGCCCCTTTTCAATATTGTTGGATAAGCAACATATGTAGACTGAAATTTCTGTGTAAAGACACATGATGAAACAGCACTTCTAGTCACTTGAGGACCTTCACGGTACCTCTGTCCTGGCTGCCTGTTAAGCTGTAGCCTTCAGGGTCATAGAGGTACAGCTCAGCTGGAATCTGGTGTACCAAATAATGAGTGCAATGTGTGGATGTTCAGATAAAGTGGGGTTTTGAGAAACCTTTGAGAGGAATCAGTTTTAACCAGAATTTTTACTTCAGCTGCCTGAGAGGAGTGCAAGGTGAGATTATCAATTCATAGTATTTGCTTGATTTTGTCTTCCATTTTTAAGAAAACTTCACAAAATAGAAAATAAAACCCCAAATGCTCACTTTTTTCTATTTCAATAGGCATTAAGTCTTATACTCTTTATGAAAGTAACAAATCCTCTTTCCTCTCCTCAAATATATAGATAGAGGTTCCAAAAATAAGAATGCCTCTTTCTTTGTCTCTCCCCTCTCCCTCTCTCTTCCTTCCCTCCCTCCCATCCACCTTTCTTTTCTTCCTCCCCCACTTCCTCCTTCCCTTCCCTTTCCTCTTTTTCTCTTTCTCTTTCCTTCGTTCTTTTTTTCTCTCTATACAACAGCTCTTTTCTATTGTGGAGTACTTTCAGAAATAGTGTTTTAGGTTTTAGGAGCTCTGTTTAAAAGAAAACAGTGCTCTTTTGTTAGTGGTGGGAACATGAGTCCAATTTTTTTCAGGCCAATTCTGAATCTCCTTAACTAAAAAAATAGTGCTTTTCACATGATGACTCATTTATCACAGAGTCATTTGCATAGAAAAAAAGAATAACTGGATGATGAACTGGGGAAGAGGGTTGCTTAAATTATTTTCAGCACATAAGTGCTTTATGTTGAAGAAAGAAAAATAATTTTATTGTTTTATCTTTCCTCTGATAAACTAATGCACTCTGCCATTAACAATGGGCCTGTCTTTCTTCATGTGTTTAGCTTCAAACATAGGTAAAATATTTCCCTTAGCCTCCTATGGAGATTATTTGGGTTTCCAGCCTTTCTGATCATTCTCATCATTACTCCTTCGAAACATTTCATCATTAGTAGACCCCTTTAACTTTGTATGGGATCTTCTGATCCCTATTTTCCCATTTTTGAATTTTTCAAAAATGAAAATTCTTTTATTGATTTTCACTTAAAATGCTGCATGTCCATTGTAAAAAATATTGAATGCAGAAAAAGAAATAAAAATAAAAAATTATTCAGTATTCTGTCATCTATAGAAACCTTCTGTTAGTGTTTTGGTGAACACTGTTTCAGATATTTTCCCTTCATTTCTCTCTGTCTTTGTCTCTCTCTCTCTCCATCCATCCATCCATCCATCCATCCATCCTTCTCTCTGTAATTTAGTAATATATCATGAACACCCTTTCATGAAATACATATTTAACTGCATCATGATTTTAAATGGTTGCATAGCAAATCATTAAAAAGGTGTACCTTAATTAGCCTTCCTTTAGGGGTCTAGGTTATTTTAAAATTTTTGCCATTACTGTGTATGTTATGTGTTGGTGATTTGCACTGATTCTAAAGTTCTGAAATGAGCTAGTGATTATACAAGGCAATGGAAACTATGAAGATAACTGATGACTGTATAATAGGAATACTTCCTATTGCAACTCGAATTATAAAAATCCTGTGTGTTGTTTTGTCCCCTGAGAAGTATGTTCATATATCTGTGTTATTTGTTTAGGAAGGATACACCTTTTAAAAAATAAAGCTTATAGATAATAACTGCAAACGTCAGGTATGAAGTAGCTTTGGTCGGGGTGGGGGGGTTAACACTGAATATAAACTTCTGGAAAGAGCATGAAGTTGAAATCCGTGGTCTAGAAGAACCTCTAGAAGTCATTCCAGCTGAGTATAGAAGTCACGGTCTTAGAGTATCACCATTAGTTTCATGCCTTCTTGGCTGAAAGGTAGTTTTTTTTAAACTGAGGATCCAACTCATTCATTTATTCAACAAAATTGTATTGATTATCTTCTTGGGCCAAGCATGGAGCTGGACACTAGCAATACAGAGATAGAAAATGCTTGTTCTGGGGTGCCTGCGTGGCTTAGTCGTTAAGCATCTGCCTTCGGCTCAGGTCATGATCCCAGGGTCCTGGGATCGAGTCCCACATGGGGCTCCTTGCTCAGCAGGAGGCCTGCTTCTCCCTCTCCCACTCCCCCTGCTTGTGCTCCCTCTCTCGCTCTCGCTCTCTGTCAAACAAACAAACAAATAAACAAATAAATCTTTAAAAAAAAGAAAATGCTTGTTCTATCCTCAGGGTTTTCATGCGCTACCATGTGGGGAGAGTGGATAGTTGAGTGCTACTCAGGAAACTGTAGACGGCATCATTAAGAAAGGGAAATTCTGCTGGCTTCACACCCAAGGTGTGTCCTAGTCCTGGAACTCTTTTGGACTCATTACTTAGAACTCTTTTTGTCCAAGTCCCCAAACACATCTTGGAAACCTGTATTTTTAGGGTAGGTTGAAAGTCAGTCACTCCTTCTTGTGCTAATTGGAGGGTGGAGAGGAAAAGCAGAGTGCCCGCTAGGGCTAGGTCTGAGAGTGAAGAATAAAATACTAGCCAACTTCTTGACATCTTTCTTGAGTGATTCCATCCTGGCAGGTGCATATGCGTAACATCATGACAGTAGGAAATAGTTGCCTGTCTTACCAAGCTGGAGAGTCATATTCAGCAATTTGATTGCATATGATGATGACTTTAGGATTTGGTTAGAAGATATATATATTTTTTAAATATTTTATTTATTCATTTGAGAGAGAGAGAATGAGAGAGAGCACATGAGAGGGATTAGGGTCAGAGGGAGAGGCAGACCCCCCCGCCGAGCAGGGAGCCCGATGCAGGACTCGATCCAGGGACTCCAAGATCATGACCTGAGCCGAAGGCAGTCGCTCAACCAACTGAGCCACCCAGGCGCCCAGTTAGAAGATATTTTTATATGATTTTTAAGAAAGTACAGTATATGCCCACTCTTATTGACATATACAAAGACCAAGAAATGAATTTTTACTGTCTGGTGGTTTTATCCAAGCTTCTCAAACTTCAAGGTGTGCATAAAAATCACTGAGACATCTTGTTGAAATATATCTATTAGGTCTAGGGCAGTTCCTGAAATTCTGCATTTCCAAAATGCCTCCAGGTAATGCCAACTTTGCTGGTTAATGGGTGGCACTTTGAATAGCAAGGACCTAAGATGTCTTCATGCCAATGAGAATTCACCTTCTGTAACTTCATCTATTTGTTTGCAGCTGTAGTGATGGTCCTAAACAGCATGAGTGTCAGCTGGAGCACCCGGATCCAGATTTTCCTAACCTTTTGCAAGCTCACAGCAATTCTGATAATTATAGTTCCTGGAGTTATGCAGCTAATTAAAGGTATGGACTGGAAAGTAAATGCTTTTTAAAATACGTATCTGCTTTTGATCTTTCCTAGCACTAACTTCCGCTTGTATTAGCAGAATCCCTTAATTAGTCTCTGTTTGTGGAACTTAGACTCTATACTGTCATCGAATTGATTTGAAAGACTGCTGCACTTGGCGGGGGGGTGGGGTGGGGAGTGCATTGGTATTTACAGCTGAATGGCAACAACAGAATTAAGACTGGGCCAAGCAACAAAATAAGGCATCAGTGAATTCTCTCCATATAAACTCTTTGGAGTGAAAACTCAAAGTGGAAAAACAAATCTGCCATTAGTTTCAACTACAGATAACTATATCCTCTTATATTTACTTTAAAATAGTTCACTAATAGTAATAAAGACTAAAGAAGAAAGGATATCTGGAAAATAATGAAAGATGACCAGTAATTCTTTTACTCTACTTTTACCTTGAGAATAGTCTTGATGGAAGGGGAGTCAGATATGGGAATAGCATTCCTAAAAGCCAAATATTATCTGACAAAAAAAAAAGGTTGTAAAAACTTAATTTTTATTGTTACTTTATTTTTAAAGTAAGATATGCTTTTCTATGGGAATGTAATATCATTTTGGGGGAGTATATGTAGAGTTGACTGTTTAATAAGAAAAGATGAGAAGTTTGAGCAGGTGATGTACTTAGAGTTTCAGCTGTTTTAGGGAAGAAGGTACATGCAATTGCTTGGATTCAGTGGAAGTTGTTGGAAGCATAGGACGTCCAGGTGAATTAATTGGCAATGGGCTTGATAATAGGGAATAGGAAAGTGAGATGAAATTGTGAAAGAGTGACATATAATTTGGGCATCTTAAATGTTTGGTGTTTACACTGATATTGTCTGTTCCAGGAAAGGGAATTTAGAGAGAAATTTTATGAAGTTGCAGGAGAAGAATTACACAAAGCAAAAGGAAATGCCAAAATTCAGCAAAATAATCGCTGATGGTAGAGGCATCAAACAATAACAAACACTGAAAGATCTGTCACTCTGTAGCTAGGGCAAGGGAGCTGCTCTTGTACATTTACTAATGGAAGATCTTAGAACTCTCCTGGCTAAATGATTGCATCAAATCCAGCAACTTCAGCCAACTCAGAGTAAACACAATAAAGATTTTAATGCTATGGCTTACACTAAAGAGAAGACGTGAGCTCGCTCTTCTAATTCACATTGGCCACCACAGAGCTGGCCTGCTCATTTTATCTGATCCATTAGAAATGTAGAGAACATAATCTGTTTTGTTAGTGCTTTTTTTTTATGAGCTAACTCTTTAGTCTTCTGTAAGGAGTTTCTTCCATGTTTGGAAAGTGCAGAGACCCTGAGTCATTGACCCTACTTCAGTTCTAGTTTAGGTTCCGAAAGATGATATACTATCCTTTAAAACTCTAATATAAGACTGTAGTCATTTTTTTTTTTTTTACCACCTATTTATATATGTATGTGAGATGAGGTGAAGTTTTCCAAATGCTATTTTATTGTAAATTCCTTAAGAACAGAGATCATAATATATCTTTTGGATCTTTTTCAACACTTAAAATAGAATGATCCTTTAATTAATACTTATGCTATCTATCAGTGCTTAATGTGAACAGGCTTCCTTTTATAGCTCACCTAATAGAGAAATGCTGTAAGAATATTACTACATTTAAAGTAAATTTTATTATTTTGGAGAGCATTCTTAGCAAGCATATTTACTCTATTAATACAAAATGTTGATTTTTCTTTCTAACTTAATCACAAATTTTTCACATTAATTTGAAACTCCAGGAAGATAAAAGCTTTACTAATACAGAGCGTGCATTTATTTCCACTCTAATCAGATCCTGAAAATAGTTTTATGTTCTGTACTTTTGAGGATTTGTTAAACTTTCCTTTGAATATTATGACTTTCATATTCCTGAGACCTCTGTTATTCATCCAAAATATTCCTGAAGTCTAAAAAAGCCTCTCTTTTGTAATACTCTCAAAATAACACTTTTTAGGATTTATGCTTTAGGACCTGATCTTCAATAAAGTTTGGTTTTTCTTATTGCTTATTCAGTACTCTACTCTTAGAATATTATCTCTTTAGGCCAAGGAGACCATATATCATGATAAAAGAATATTCAACAGATGTTTTTATCTGAGCTCCAGTATTTATATTTCCCTTCTATGAGGACACAGAGATGTTTTAGTAAAACAGGCATTTCTGAATTCACTGTGTCATTTTTTTTTTAAGTGAACTATATTTTGGAACTGGATACTTTGAGGGAAAAATTATTTACTGTACAACTCAACCTTCTCCATTTTTGGTCTCAAAGCTCATACATACTATATTAATATATATTGTTGTCTGGGCAACCTAGGCAACAACTGAGGTTTCAGTGACGAGAGAGGGTCATAATCACATATATCATCTACCTCCCATCCCTCTTTTTTTTTTTTCAGATAAACAATGGATTATGTTTTATATAAGTGTATCTCAAATATTGCATGGCACATAGTTAAACTAAAAAATCATTATTTCTACAGAAAAATAACACAGTGATAAATATTCTGTATCCTTATAAGCCCATCCCTCTTTTATTTACTTGAGTGAAGACCAATTCTGAAACAAAATCACATTTCCCATTTTGGTGATCTCATTTGCTATTTTCTTTAAGAAAGAGACTTTTTATGTTAAACTTTGAATATTGGCTAAATCTGAATTATTTTTTTTTTTTGGTAATTATCCAAAGGATATACAAGAAAAAGGCCCAGTATGATTCACAAAGTAGGGGAAAATGTTATGAATTAAAGCATTCAATCCACACGTTGATGCAAAATTTGTTAAGAACTATCTATTTTAAAATTCAGTATAATTTCTTTTCAGTGTTTCTAGAAGGAAATCATGCCATTCTCTAAGCCAGGGTCAGTGGACTTTCTCTGTAAAGGGCCAGATAGTAAATATTTTCAACTTTGCTTGCGATACAGTCTCCTTCACAACTACCCAACTCTGCCATTGCAGAGTGAAATCAACCATAGACTGATAATATCAATCCTAATACACAAATAAGTGGGCCTGGCTGTGCTCCAATGAAACTTTATTTACACAAGAAGCTTTGGAAGGCAGAGTTGGTCCACAGGGTTTTCTACCACTGTGAGTACTTAATAGACTACAGGGGAAAATAGAAAGCAGAATGAAAATTAAATGATATGAGAAGGTGGTTCTTGGGTTTTTTGCTACCTCCTCTTTGAGAGTAGAACTGTGGATATTTCTTTCCGAGTGTAGATGCCAAGGGCAGTCTGCCCTGAGATGGGCTACTTTGACATGAACATTATTTTGAGTTAAAAGCAATCAAAACCCAGCAGATTCAGGAAAAGCTCTTTACCTCCCCCTGAGCTATTAACAAGATAGTTTCCTCTTTACCTAAGAGATTCATCTTACATAGTAGGGCAACTTTTGTTTTCCAAACATCTCCTTTTACCTTCCTGCTAATGTTCTTTCTCCCCTTTATATCCTCAGAACCCTACTCCCCTTCTTAGCTCATGTAACTATCATATTGCCTCACTGTCTTTGGAATTTCCATGTCTGTGGGGGTTCCCTATATGTATGCTATTAAATTTGATTTTCTCCTGTTAATCTCTGTCTCATGTTAGTTTGATTCTTAGTCCAGCTAGAAGGATTTTAAAGGGCAGAGGAAATTCTTTCTCCCCAACACAAGCATTATTTGTGCTTTATTTATTTAAAAGAATTCTATCATACTCTTGTAAACTGTAATCTGTATAGGTTACAGATTATTCTTTAGTCTTCTTTTATGCTCAAACTCTGTAAGAGTAGAGGCACACTCAAACAAGGAACTGCTTTGCTCTTTGCTATAATTTTATTAAAAGAGAAATGTGAAATAGTGTCAGTGGTGATCAATATACCTTCGGGACTCCTCCTCTAGAATGGATATAGTATTAATAGATGAATCTGGCAATGAGCAGGAAGTGAGAAATCTGGACCTGAAACAGTATAGTTCATCCCCAACCCTCCCATTTCTTTCTCCATGTTTATGGTTAAAGAATGAATAATAACCAATTCTTTGAAAAATCCTAAAATCTTTCTGTTCTCATTACAGGGCAAACACAACACTTTAAAAATGCCTTCTCAGGAAGAGATGCGAGTATTATGGGGTTGCCACTGGCTTTTTATTATGGAATGTATGCATATGCTGGCTGGTAAGTTGATTTCTCTAGATCTGATGGTTTGTATGGGTCATTAATTCCTTCATGTATTTTGGTTAAGTGCCAAGCAAGATGCTAGATGAGTGGGAATAGCCACAATCCAGCACAATCTGCCTTTCTTGAAGTGAGAAAGATGGTGTGGCTCCCTCCACCAGGCCACTTACTGTGCATATAACTTAATGTAAGCATAACTGAGTTTTTCAGTCAAGTTAACTATTAGACTTAGCCTGATGTTATAAAAAACAAACAAATGTGGGTCTTAATATTGCCAAAAGATCTGTTACAGCCACTAACTCAGGAAATAAATGGGGAGGCCTGGTGCACATTGCCAGGGCCAACTGCTCCATCCTGGGGAATCCTGAGGGGGCTGAACAAATTGAAAGTACAGCTCCTGACTGGGCTTGCCAATACTGTTGCTGAACAAACTCAGATGAACTTGTTGCTAGAGAAGCCAATAACTCAAGCAACGAGGGTTTGAAAATGGGAAAGAGAAATTTATTTCAGATGCTGGCACCTGGGGGAGGTGGCAGGCTCAAGCCTTAACAATTGACCTCTCTGCCTGTAAGATGAACACCTATGGTTTTGTAGGGAGAGGTTTGGGGGGTAAGTGCAAGAGAGCAGCCAGGGTGCACGTAATCATGGGTGGGGTGAGTATGTGTTCAGCCCTTGATCATGGGTAGGGAAGGGGACATGTGGGGTGTGGTCTTCTAGGCATTCCGTTGTTAACAGGGCTTTTCTGGTCCAGTGGTTAGAATGTTCTGGTCATTGCAAAATGTCTTTGTGCCTCAAGAAAGTACAATAAGAAATAAGCACAATGGGTTTAGTTAGAGCATGAGTTAAGTGGTTTTGTCTATTTCTGGTTTTAACTGTTGGGGTCTACAATTGAGCAAGAGAACTCGCTGACATTAACCAATGCAAATCACTTATAAGTCTGTATCAGTGAGGACATAATAGTGCCATGAGAAATTGAAGATTAATTCTTTGCTTGTCAAAGGCCTTTCAGTTGAAGCTCCAAGGTTGTTTGTGAATAGTGATTGATTTTTCTCTACTGTCCTATGAGAATGAAATAATTCAGATATAGAAATAAGTAAGGTGTTCCCAGAAGGTAAAATGATACTCGAAAAGCAGGGTAGGAAAAACTAAGATGGTGAAAACAGGTATACTAGATAATCTGTATACATTTAAGGCTCTTACAAATTCCTTAAGATTTCCTCAACATTTGAAAAGCAAAATATTCAGCAAAGATGATCAAAATCACTATGCCATGGGTACATTTCCTTTGTGCATGTTAAGCTGTGATAACCATTCTTGTTGAAGCATTAGAACTTTGTATTTATGCCTTATTTTATTCAGGAACTTGAATAACAATAATCATGGTTAAGGGTGTGATTTTTTTACTAATTAAATTTTATTGATCTAAGACTCAGTGGAAATGACTGTTACAAGAAAGCCCACTAGATAGAAAAGTATTGCTTAACCATCACAATCATTGTAGTAAAATTAAATTTCACTGTTTTGGAGTTATTAGTAGCAAAATCTCTTTTTAAAAATTATTTATAGAGCTAATAGTTGTGCAACTTTAGCTGTGAGAATGTTCTATGAACATAAAAATAGTATCAGGAAACCACACTAACTCAGAAATTATGTAAATGCATTTAATATAAATTTTATTTACTTCCGTTTCTTTAGTTTTTAGATTCTTACCTTCCAGTTAGTGCATGGAATATAAAAATATGGAGTATTTACCCTATTAATCTCATTGAATTGTGAAAATATAGCATTAGAGGAAAATTAGGAGAGTATAGGAATTTAAAATTTTAACCTAGCTTTTGAAGCAAAGTATGTTTGAAAGGCATTAGAAGGTTGTAGCTCTAAGTGGTATAGGATAAAATATTTGTGTATTCAAGAAATATTCTTACAGCTATTGTGTATAAGTATCAATCTTGAATCACACAGTGAATTTGAAGTCTTTTTATTTTTGTCCAAAGCACAATGTGGTGCTGGGCAGAGAGAAGAACAGAGTTGTGATCACAGGGTTAGTAGCAGAATCCACCATTCTGTGGCTGTTCAGCCTGCATCAAAGCTCTGGTGCCCTGGGGCAGCAGCCAAGCTACTGGGAGGGTAACCCAGAGACCAGAGTGAAGTGGGGAGGTGGTAAAAGCTTTCAGCTAGAGCCAAGTGTTGGGAGCCCAGCAATATTCAATCAGGAATGTGGAATGTGGAGATAGTCACAAAGGAGATTTGATTAATTCTATTGAATGAAGTTTCTTTTGCCTTTGAGTGCCATGCATCTTTTACCACGGAATCTTAAAATATTCTTCTGTCCAACTCACTCTCCCACTACCAGTACCAGACATTCAGGTCAGCAGCTTTGTGTTGAGCAAACCTTCTCTACTTCTGTAGGCTTTGGAGGGCTGAGGGATTTTTCCATTTTTCTCAATCTTTTCATTTTAAATTATCTTATTATCATAATATTTTGTTTTATTGATGCTGAACCTAAAATGCTGCTCGTGTTAAAATGATTTAAAAAATAATTTGGGTGACATAGACAGACTTTATTTAACAATTCATGAAGTGGGCAGTCTCTACTTTCAAGAGTCTAGAGAACCGCAAAGTGGGGTGGAAGACAGGAAGCTTTTAATAGGATATGCTTTTATAGAAATCTTTCAAAGCATAAGGGACAAGGAAGAGAAAAATAGAAAATGAATAAGGAATAAGAAAGTAAGTATAGATCCCAGAGTTGGCATTTGGGGACCCAGTGGCCCCATTTTGGGCCCAGAAATGTATTTCAGCGCTCTCTTTACAGGGAATGTGGGGTTTACGTGAACTTTTGTTTATACTTTTACCCATATGATCCTTCTCTCCACTCCCTATTTTATTTTATTTTTTTAAAGATTTATTTATTTATTTGAGAGAGCGAGAATGAGAGAGAGAGAGAGAGTACATGAGAGGGGGGAGGGTTAGAGGGAGAAGCAGGCTCCTCGCCGAGCAGGGAGCCCGATGCGGGACTCGATCCAGGGACTCCAGGATCATGACCTGAGCCGAAGGCAGTCGCTTAACCAACTGAGCCACCCAGGCGCCCCTCCGCTCCCTATTTTAAAGAAGAGGAAACTGTTGATTTTCTCCTATTCTTAAGAGGGGTTCGAGTATAGTGCTGGAAATGAAGACCGGGATTTTAAATGCAATGTTACCTGATACAAGTGGCTTGTGCAGAGACAGAGGAGTAACTGCATTTCTCTAACGGGGTTGTTATGCTACCTGAATGCTGCATTGTGGATAGGTAGAAATAATCTGGTTGTTAATCTATGGCCATCAGTCTTAGAAAAAGGAAACCATGTCTAGAAGAAATCGTCTCTTGGCTCAGAGTTCCAGAAAAAAAGCTAATACCTGGTTGTACGTGGAACAAGATGGAGACAAAAAGAGTTCACAGAGAGGGGTATTTATTCCCTTCCCAAATGTAATCCTGCCTCTCTGACCTCTCTCTGTCTTTCGCAGTATAATGACAAGACTAGGTGATGGAATTATAAATGGGACACTGTAAATGAGTCTCCACTCCCCATGCAGCTGCCGTGACAACGTTTGATGCAAACAAAAAGTGTGGGGGGCATTGCAAATAAGTCAGACAGAAGCAGCTACTGTCATCAGAACTTAACCATCTAGGGTGTAAGTAAAAGCAGCGAGACCTTTGTCGATGGGGAGGCCTTGCTCTGTTAGCAATTCAACTTCGACATGGTGAATAGGAAAAAGACCCTGCCAAACCTTGGGTCTGATTACAGTAGGCTTTTGGCTATGAGCAGTGCAGAACCTTTTCAGAATGATGAAAACTCCTTCACAGAAACATGATTAGGGGGAAAGAAATCATTAACCCAGCCAGGTCACAGAGTTGGGTCAGAGCAACTTTAATATTATTGCCAATGTCTGCATTCAGAGAGATATGTCTGCCAGTCTTCCTCGTGGCCCAAGGGAACTCAACCAATTTCAGTCCCATATCCTGATCCAAAGCTAAATATTGCTTCGTGGGGTTTTTTAAAACTGTGTAATAGAAAATTTTTCCATGTCTTTTTTCTCCCTTTTAAATCCGATCCTCGGTGGATTTAGTCTTTCTAAAGTACCTGCTGGGATTATTTTGTACCATTGTGTCAAATCTAATCTAAAGAATAAGCTTCTTTTTAAAATAATTCATAGTTGGGTACTGGGATGCATTGCCAGCTTTGTGATACTTTTTATACACAATTATGGAAAAGCTGAAACAATAGATCTTGTGAACATTCTCAAGAGGCCTTGAGGAGATGTAAAGCAAGGAGAATGCTATGGACTCATTGCTGGAGACTAGGAAAGCATAAAGGTGTATTTCCCACAGGATGTGAATGTTTGGACCAAAGTAAGAAGCTTTCTCCTTCACACCCCCACCCTGCCCCAAGCCCTTTCCTTTCCTCTATTCTCTGGAGCTCTGGCAAATATTTGAAATTGTGTTCCTTTTTTCACAAATATTTCCTTTCTTGCTGTAAACATTGTTGGAAAATATCAGTTTTTAAAACAACTATTAAGAAGGAACTGGATATTTTTGACATGAGAAGCCTGGAAACATTTGTGTGTGTATGTGTGTGTGTTATTTTATATTTGGGTTTTCTTTCTTTTTTTTTTTTTTCCTTCATGTTCTTCCTGTACTTCCCATTGCTTTGGCCTTATAACACATGAAATCCCTCAGAGTGCATATCCCAGATATAAGTATTGATTGTTGCTTGCCTTCGTGGTGTAATTACAGCCTCTATTTTTAGAAGCTTACTTTCTAGTCATTAAAAAATAAACTTGACTGCTAACTTTTTAGATCACCTTTACTGCTACTGTTCTGTCAGCTATTCAAATGCTTCTACTTAAGACATAGTCCTTAAAATATTAGATGCCTTAACCTTCTTAAAAGATAAACTGAAGCATATTAAAATTTTTAAGAGTTTATTTGAGCAAAAGTTGATTTGAATCAGGCAGCATTTAATCTAGCAGATAGAAAGGAGCTCTGAGGAACTGCATAAAATGAGACTTTTATAGGCAGAAGGGAGCAGGAACAAACAACTTAGTGTAGGCAAAAAAGCAGGTTGGTTTTTGCAAGGTTACTTTCATGTAAGCAATGGCAGGGATCTGTCAGGAAGATTACCTAACTAGTACCAATCAAGTGATTCCTGATTGGTTTAAAATTCCTTTCCTGGGAGAGCAGAAACTATAATTATCTTGGTTTGGTGTTGTGGGGCTTAGCATAAGCAACTCCATTTTGGACTTGTTGTCTAGTTTTTGACAACCATGAACATCAACTTCCTAGTTGTGAATTTAGATGGGTTTTTATAAAGATAAGACAGGTTTCTCTTTCTTATTTTAAATTATGAGATACTTTAAGTATATTAAAGCTGTTGGGCTAATATTTTAGCCATTTGGTTTTAAGTAATAGAAAAATTTGTACTTACAGACCCAAGCTTCTGTGTACCTATATAATGGCTGTTTTGCCTTCTGCAGAAAAATAAGAGAGCAGAAGAGTGTTTTGAAAATACGACTTTTTATTTTGTGGAAATGACCTAAGCCTATCAAATGAAGAGGTAGAAATGTCTTTGTCTTTATATGCTTAGCTCTCCCATATGATCCCTTGGTTTTCCCATCTTCACAATTCAGTTATCTATGTATGCTTATTTGAGGATGGAGTCTACATCAGTTGTACATCTTGGAACCTGGAAAAAGAACTATACGTTGCCTAACTGAACATAATACAAAAAAAGAATTATAAGGGCTTTAAAGAGTCTCGAGCAGTCCCTTTCAATTGGAAAAATAAGGGTACAAGGTGGTAGACATTTTCTGGGTAGGATAAGTAGAGTCATGAAGTAAAAGAAAGGAATCTGAATTTCTCTAGGGCCATAACTTTAGGGTAATATTTGTAATCCTATGACACTTGAAAGTGAAATATTGTATGCCTAGAATGCTTTTTGTCATGTGAGGGATCCAGAAAAGTGTTCAGAACTTGGGAAAACTGCATAGTCTTGTGACTTGAGGTTATTTGGATGGGCATATACCAGAAAACAGTGAATGGAAAGGAAGAAGTGCAAATTGAGACTCTATTATCTTTGATACCACTGTCAGTTCCTACTTGCCCTCTTGTGTTTATATATGGCCAACTCCCTAAAACTGTGAAATGCTATTGTCATACATCTCTTGCTCTACAAGCTTTGATTGACTTGCCAACACCACTAAAATCTGGATTCCTGGAAGCCAAAGGCCATCTGGTACTTAAATTCTGTTCTTACTGCTCCTGCCACACTTTGCAGTGCAAAATAGTAAACTGTTGCTCACACCCCCATGCTCATGCGGTGTACTCAGTCTGGACTGTCCTTCACCACTTCACTAGGGCTCAGATGTTGAGCATTTCTGAAGACTCCACTTGGGTGATGCCTTCTCTAGAAAACCTTCCTGACTTGCCAGTCTGGGTTAGGCCTCGTCCCTGGCTCCCACTGTGCCCTGTATATAGTCCGGCACTGACGCTTGTGTTCTGTCACACTATTCTATTGGCCATTCTATAAACCATGGGCTCCTTGAGGAGAAATACTGTGGGTTTCCCACTTTGCTTTCCCCACTCACTGAAACATGATAATCTCCTATATTGCTGGGAGTGCAAAAACGGGAAAAAATTGTTTGGCAGTAAACATACATCTACCCCATGACCCAGTGATCATATTCTGAGTATATGCTGGAGAGAAATGATTGCATGGTCCCCCCAAAAACATGTACAGGCATATTTATGATATCTATTATAACAGCTATAAGTTGGAAGTAATCCAAAACCATCAACAGTAGAATGTATGGTGTAATAAAATGAACAACATCAATAAAAATAACGAATTATTGCTACATATAACAGCTTGGATGAGACTCACAAAAAAAAAAGTCCAGAAAAAAAAGCCAGATGCACAAAAAAATAATTACTATATAATAGTAATACAAGCAAATATTAGTCTGTTGTGGTTTTTTTTTTTTTTAGATTTTATTTATTTATTTGACAGAGAGAGAGAAAGAGAGAGAGCACAAGTAGGTAGAGAGGCAGGCAAGTAGGTAGAGGGAAAGGGAGAAGCAGACTCCTCGCCGAGCAGGGAGCCCAATGCGGGGCTCGATCCCAGAACACTGGGATCATGACCTGAGCCCAAGGCAGACACTTAACCAAATGAGCCACCCAGGAACCCCAATATTAGTCTATTGTGATCAAACAAGTAAAACTAATCAAAGGTGATAATCGAATAACAGTTGCCTTTACAAGAGAATGGTATTGACTGGAAAGGGCCATAAGGGAACCGTCTAGGGTTCTAGGAATGTTTTATCTCTTGATCTTTTTGTTGGTTCCATGGGTGTATAAATATGTAAAAATTCATCAGGTTGTTGATTAAGATTTGTGCACTTTACTGTTCATATGTTATACCTCTATAAAAATGTTAAAAAATAAAAAAATAACTCTATACTTATGGTTTAATAGAAAAACGATTTGTGGGAACTTTGTTGGAGATTTTTATCTTACAATAAGTATTTGTTTTTAAATTTTTTATAATTCTGAGTTTGATTGTAAATGTTTAAAAATTGACACTTTGGGTTATAAGTGTAAAATATGTTGATAATTTATAACTCATTTATATCTTTTTAGGTTCTATCTCAACTTTGTTACTGAAGAAGTGGAAAATCCTGAAAAGTAAGTTGCCATATTTACTCTGAAATATTTATGAGGAATAAAATGTAACGTTAAACAATTGAAAAAGCAGACCTAAAGAAGGTCCTCAGTATGGGCTAATTAACTTTATCCTTATCCTCCTCCTTATCATCATTTTCTTAGGCAGATAAAATTTATTTGAATTTATTATAAATTAGATGTAAATAACTTTATTGTCTATTCCACATTCAACACTAAATTATCTGATAACCTGAAAGTATAAAATAATAAAGTTATATTTTAAGTAATCCATTTCATAAAAGCCTATATACAACTTAACATGGACTTTCAGCTGCCTACAAATGTTCCATAAGGCATGAACTCTAAAAATTGATTTTTTTCTAATAATTCGTGTGAGTTTTTTGGTTACTATTCAATTAAAGAAAATAATGCAATTAATGAACAGTTAGTTATGAAAGCTGAGAAGTAACTGCAGAATGCTATAAAAACTTGTAAATTTTAGTAGCTGGATGATTGCTTTTACTTTTTGTTCCTAGGTAATACTTTTGATGATTAGGTAATTTGATGATGACTTACATAATGTTCCTAAATTGAATTATTTTTAACTCAGGACTTAGATAAGTGACTTTTGTGGTTTCCATAAAAACGTTTGACTTTATACAGGAAAGCAACATAATCTATGGGCAGAAGAGGGAAATTTTAAGAAATGCCACGTGAGATATGGACTGAATTATTAAGTAATTTAACTCATCTGGCATTCATTAAACATCTACCATGTTTCAACCAATGTGCTAGGAACTTCTTACATGATGAATAAAACTTGTATTTACGATTTTATGGTCTAGTCAGTTAGTCAAATATGTAAACAAATGAAAGTAACATAGTATGATGCCATAATAGATTATTTACTCAATTTGACAGAGAGTAAAGGAGGAAATACTTAACTCTGTCTAAGGAGATGTGCTTAATATGTAGAGTCTCAAATGATGAACAAGTACTTTTAGGTAAAAAAGAGTGAGAAAGAGTGAGAGTGAGAGAGAGAAGGAAAAAGGGAGAAAGACATCCAAGAAACAAAACATGTACAAAGGTGAGTCAGTATGAAATTGCCTAAGTATCAGAAAATAAGCTCAAGTGTTCACAATTCACATTAAGGTAGACGAAGAAATTCTGGCACTAAGTACATTGGGAGGGAGATAGTAAGCCACCCTTAGATCTGGCCACGTAGTGGGGTTGTCAGAATTTTGAACACGCAAACCAGCAATCGAGGTTAAAATGATGTTCATACTATCTGATTCAACTGATATGCAAATCAATATGTAATTTAAACACGTGAAAAAGTTATTTTATTGAGAAATATGAGAAATTTATGACAGTACTTTCATATTTATAACTGGAATTGTGGTAGAGAACATACATTTACCAGGAACTAGTTTCTTCTAGCATTACTTTGAAATGATCAGCCACTTTGTGACTCTAAATCTATTGATTACAGAGATAAATAGGTTGCCCTGTTTTTACTGTTTTTGAGAATAGTGTGTAAGTGGTAACACAGAGCACATACTGCTCTTACTAGATTTATGTATGTAAAATATGTATTGAATTTCTATTGTATAAAAGAAATATCTATGGTTTATGTCTTTTAAGTCTAAAGACCCTTTAGAGAGCCCAGTTACTAAAATCTAGTATCAGAAATATTTCTTAGGGGCACCTGGGTGGCTCAGTTGGTTAAGCGACTGCCTTCGGCTCAGGTCGTGATCCTGGAGTCCCGGGATCGAGTGCCGCATCGGGCTCGCTGCTCGGCGGGGAGTCTGCTTCTCCCTCTGACCCTC